GAACTTCATTCTCTGCCTCTGAGAAGTGGGTGGAAGACCCCTCCCATCCTGGGTGGGAGTTGTGCAGGGGTGGGGACATGTGGGGCCGATGATGGATTCAGCTGCTTGATGGGCACTGTCCTTTTTCTTGAGAGTGCATCTTGGGCTGGGACTCAGGGCAGTATCCCATCCCTGGGGCCTCTCTCAGCCCCTACTAAAGCCCTTATTTATTTATTTTTAAAATTAATTAATTAATTAATTTTTGGCTGCATTGGGTTTTCGTTGCTGCGCTCAGGCTTTCTCTTGTTGCGGCGGGCAGGGGCTACTCTTTGTTGCGGTGCACGGGCTTCTCACTGCAGTGGCTTCTCTTGTTGTGGAGCACGGGCTCTAGGCCCATGGGCTTCATTAGCTGCAGCACACAGGCTCAGTAGTTGTGGCTCGTGGGCTCTAGAGCGCAGGCTTAGTAGTTGTGGTGCACGGGCTTAGTTGCTCCAAGGCATGTGGGATCTTCCCGGACCAGGGCTCAAACCCATGTCCCCTATATTGGCAGGCGGATTCTTAACCACTGCGCCACCAGGGAAGCCCTAAAGCCCTTAGAATTATAAGGAGGAGAGCTGGAACCCCAGCCAGAACCCAGAGAAGGAGACCTGTCCTTTCCCACCCCGAACACTCGTTCTCAGGTGAGCAGGAAGACAATGCCATCGCCCTCAGGCTGCTAAACCACCTGGGCCTGTGCACCAGCTGGACGCCTGGCAGCTTGGCGCCTGCCTGCCATGACAGCCATCCAGAGGTGGGCACAGAGAAGCACAGAGAAGCTTCCCTCTCCCAGCAGAAGCCCTATTTGTTTGTTCATTCATTCACTCATTCATTTAACCATCACTCAGAAACACTCTCTGTGCCTGCCCAGGGCTGAGTGCTGGAGACCCATGGATTCAGCAAATATTGAGCACCTACGATGTGCCGGGTACTGTGCTGGGCTCTGGGGACACAGACAAAGAGATCCTTGCCCTCAAGTAGCTGACATTCCAGCAGAGGAATAAGAGAATATACAAGAAACCATGAAAAATCAGTATTATGGTGTGTTAGCAGGTAAAAACTGTTAAGGACAAATTACGTAAAAGAGCTCAGGAATACCCAATCTGGGGTAGGGGGTTTATAAGAATGTCAGAGAAAGCCTCATTGAGAGGGTGATGTGTGAGCAGAGATGTAAAGGTGGTGAGGGAGGGGGCTATGTGAGTATCTGGAAAAAGCTTCAAGACAGAGGGAATGGGGACTCCCTGGTGGACCAGCGGTTAAGACTCCATGCTCCCAATGCAGGGGGCCCAGGATTGATCCCTGGTCAGGGAACTAGATCCCTCATGCCGCAACTAAAAGATCCCACACGCCACAATGAAGATCCTGTGTGCCACAGCTAAGACCCAGCGCAGCTAAATAAACAAACAAACAGCACATTCAAAGGCCCTGGGGCAGGAGAGTACATGGGTGTGTTCAAGCCACAGCTAGAAGGCCAATGGCTGGAGACTGGTCAGGGAGGCAGTGGGAGGGCAGATACCATAGGACCTTGCTGGCTATGATGTAGACTGGCTTTGACCTCAGAAAGGGCCATGGAGGCGTCTGAGCAGAGGAGGGACCTAATGTGACCGAAGGGACTAATGAGAATAAGCTTTGGGGCTTGAGAGCAGAATCAGGACAACCCTGAGGAGGCGATGACTGCACTGGTCTAGGCAAGAGGTGATGGCGTCTCAGACCAGGCTGGTGGACGTGAAGGTGGGGGGCAATGGGCAGATTCTGAACCTGGAGCCAGCAGGACTTGCTGAGGGTCCTGGGTCACCTTGAGGCTTTGGGCCTGAGTGATCTGTTACGATTACCTGGGTCAGAAGGATCGTGTGAGAAGAGCCTCAGGGGAGGATGAGCCAGGAGGTCTCAGCTGGTCCAGCCATGGGGTTTGTTCTCTGATGGTGTGTTGGGAATGCAGAGGGGGCCCTGCTCCTAGAGGAAGTGGCAGCTGCAGTGGGGCAGGTGAGCCTGGGCAAGGCCAGTGCTGCCCCCCGACCCTGTATGCCAGGCCCGGCATGGCACACAGCCCTGGGGATGGGGCTGCAGGGCAGGAAAGGGCAGTGTGGGAGCTGCTGGCCTGAGAGTGCTGCCTGGGGGCAGGGGCTGAGCAGGCCCTGGCATGGGTGTCAGCAGCCCACCCAGGTCTGGCACTGCCCCTAATTCCACTCTCTCACTAACCTTAGACTGGGCTGTGGGCGGTTGTTTCTCCCCAGACTTCCCAGAGGACTGGTGTGAGGCCCATGTGGAATGTGGCGGATTCTTAGGACAGGCTGTGGAGAAGGGGGGTGGCGTGGAGCGTGGAAAGAGGAAGAGGCGAAGGGGCCGGCTGCCACCTGACTATGCAAATGGCCTCTGACTCATTACATCCCCACCCCGCCGACACCCCTGCCCTGGGCATAGGGTGGGGGAAGGAAGGGGGCTAGGTTATTGCGAAATTCTCACTTCCTCTGTCCCCCAAGCCATCACCACGGGAAGGGGCTGTGAGTGCGAAGCATCCTTCCCTGCAGCTGCTGCCTAGTCTGCCAGCCAGACGCTCTGGAGGAGCCCCCATTCCCTGTCATGGTAGGACAGCAGCCCTCAGTCCCCAGGGAAGGGGACAGTGGGAAGTGGTAGGGAGAAAGGTGGGTTTGGTGGCTGCAATGGTGAAAGGGACAGTCACCCAGGTGGCCCTGGGGAAACTCAGTGAACCCTGAAGACATCAGAGCAGAAGACCTTCTCTGAGCTATGAGACACAAACCCATTGCTTGGGTGAGGAGGCTGGGGCGTAGGGCTGCGCTCAGTGGTGGTGCTGGGCTGCAAGCAAGGGGAGCACCCAGACTGGGCCCTGTCTGCCCTTTGCTGCCCAACCTCCCCTCCAATCCGTTCTGACCCACAGCAGGTTGAGTGCTTGGGCTGGGTGAGGTGGGCAGATGGGGAAATAGCTGGGCAGTGGCCACCCTGGCCAGGACCCTGGGTGGTAGACAGCCTGAGCCCCAGCAGGAGACCCTCATTCCCACCTCTTGGCCAAACGGAGAGGGAGGGCTGGGAGAAGCCTGGTAGAAAGCAGAGGGAGATTTTCAGGGGGCTGGAGGGAAGGGGAGATGCCCCCTTGCTCAGGAGGAAGGAGAAATGACCTCTGAGGAACAGAAGGGGAGAGTCGGGGAGAGCCTGGGGGGCCTGTTGACCACCTACCTGGCTCTCCTGTCCAGTTGGGCTTTGGTTGAGTGAAAGCTCTAGATCATGAATCTGGATTCCAGGTCTCAGAACCAGTTCTGACTCCCCGTTCTGAGTCAAAGGCTGGGCCTCAGACCCGAGTCCAAGTTCCCTGTGGGCCTTGGAGGTGGGATGGGCACTGGGCAGAGAAACAGGAACCTCCCTGGAGGGCTGGGAGCCCTGCGGGAGACCCCGGGGGTGCGGGGCAGGAGAGGTGGAGCTGGGGCCGTGCCCTCACACGGTGCCCACCCCACAGGGCCCCTGCCGTGCCTGGCACCCCCTTTCTCTCCTGGTGCAGGTGGTGGCACTGGCTGCAGCCCTGGCCCAGGGCACCCTGCCTGCTTTCATGCCCTGTGAACTCCAGCCCCACGGCCTAGTGACCTGCAACTGGTTGTTCCTGAAGTCCGTGCCACACTTCCCGGCCGCGGCGCCCCGGGCCAACGTCACCAGCCTCTCTTTGCTCTCCAACCGCATCCACCACCTGCATGACTCCGACTTCGCCCACCTGTCCAGCCTGCGGATCCTCAACCTCAAGTGGAACTGCCCGCCGGCCGGCCTCAGCCCCATGCACTTCCCTTGCCACATGACCATCGAGCCCAACACCTTCCTGGCCGTGCCCACCCTTGAGGAGCTGCACCTGAGCTACAACGGCATCACGACCGTGCCCGCCCTGCCCAGGTCCCTTGTGTCCCTGTCGCTGAGCCACACTAACATCCTGGTGCTAGACCCCACCCACTTTGCCGGCCTACACGCCCTGCGCTTTCTATACATGGACGGCAACTGCTACTACAAGAACCCCTGCCACCGGACACCGGAGGTGGCCCCGGGCGCCCTCCTTGGCCTGGGCAACCTCACGCACCTGTCGCTCAAGTACAACAACCTCACGGAGGTGCCCCGCCTCCTGCCCCCCAGCCTGGAGATCCTGCTCTTGTCCTATAACCACATTGTCACCCTGGCGCCCGAGGACCTGGCCAATCTGACCGCCCTGCGCGTGCTCGACGTGGGTGGGAACTGCCGCCGCTGTGACCATGCCCGCAACCCGTGCATGGAGTGTCCGAAGCACTTCCCCAAGCTGCACCCCGACACCTTCAGCCACCTGAGCCGCCTCGAAGGCCTGGTGTTGAAGGACAGTTCTCTCTACAGACTGGACAACAGATGGTTCCGTGGCCTGGGCAGGCTCCAAGTGCTGGACCTGAGTGAGAACTTCCTCTATGACTGCATCACCAAGACCACGGCCTTCCGGGGCCTGGCCCGGCTGCGCAGCCTCAACCTGTCCTTCAATTACCACAAGAAGGTGTCCTTCGCCCACCTGCACCTGGCGCCCTCCTTCAGGGGCCTGGTCTCCCTGAAGGAGCTGGACATGCACGGCATCTTCTTCCGCTCACTCAGCGAGACCACGCTGCAGCCGCTGACACAACTGCCCGCGCTCCAGATTCTGCGTCTGCAGATGAACTTCATCAGCCAGGCCCAGCTCAGCGTCTTCGGGGCCTTCCCGGGCCTGCTCTACGTGGACCTGTCGGACAACCGCATCAGCGGAGCTGCAAGGCCAGCAGCCACCTTGGGGGAGGTGGACAGTGGGCCGAAGGTCTGGCTGCCATCCAGGGACCTCGCTCCAGGCCCACTGGACACCCTCAGCTTGGAGCACTTCATGCTAAGCTGCAAGAACTTCAGCTTCACCTTGGACCTGTCACGGAACAACCTGGTGACGATCCAGCCAGAGATGTTTGCCCGCCTCTCGCGCCTCCAGTGCCTGCGCCTGAGCCACAACAGCATCTCGCAGGCGGTCAACGGCTCCCAGTTCGTGCCGCTGACCAGCCTGCGGGTGCTGGACCTGTCCCACAACAAGCTGGACCTGTACCACGGGAGCTCGTTCACGGAGCTGCCGCGACTGGAGGCGCTGGACCTCAGCTACAACAGCCAGGCTTTCAGCATGCAGGGCGTGGGCCACAATCTCAGCTTCGTGGCCCAGCTGCGCTCCCTGCGCTACCTCAGCCTGGCGCACAACGACATCCACAGCCGTGTGTCCCAGCAGCTCTGCAGCGCCTCGCTGCAGGCCCTGGATTTCAGTGGCAACGCCCTGAGCCAGATGTGGGCTGAGGGAGACCTCTATCTCCGCTTCTTCCAAGGCCTGAGAAGCCTGGTCCTGCTGGACCTGTCCCAGAACCGCCTGCATACCCTCCTGCCATGCACCCTGGACCACCTCCCCAAGAGCCTGAAGCTGCTGCGTCTCCGTGACAATAACCTGGGCTTCTTCAACTGGAGCAGCCTGGCCCTCCTGCCCCAGCTGGAAACGCTGGACCTGGCGGGAAACCAGCTGAAGGCCCTGAGCAATGGCAGCCTGCCGTCTGGTACCCGGCTCCGGAAGCTGGACCTCAGCGGCAACAGCATTGGCTTCGTGACCCCCGGCTTCTTTGTTCTCGCCAAGCGGCTGGAAGAGCTCAACCTCAGTGCCAATGCCCTCAAGACGGTGGAGCCCTCCTGGTTTGGCTCCCTAGCGGGCACCCTGAAAATCCTAGACGTGAGCACCAACCCGTTGCACTGTGCCTGTGGGGCGGCCTTCGTGGATTTCCTGCTGGAGGTGCAGGCTGCCGTGCCCGGGCTGCCCAGCCGAGTCAAGTGTGGCAGTCCGGGCCAGCTCCAGGGCCGCAGCATCTTCGCACAGGACCTGCGCCTCTGCCTGGACGAGGCCCTCTCCTGGGACTGTTTTGGCCTCTCCCTGATGGTGGTGGCCCTGGGCCTGGCTGTGCCCATGCTGCACCACCTCTGCGGCTGGGACCTCTGGTACTGCTTCCACCTGTGCCTGGCCTGGCTGCCCCGGTGGGGGCAGCGGCAGGGCGCAGACGCCCTGTTCTACGATGCCTTCGTGGTCTTCGACAAGGCGCAGAGCGCAGTGGCCGACTGGGTGTACAACGAGCTGCGGGTGCAGCTGGAGGAGCGCCGTGGGCGCCGGGCACTCCGCCTGTGCCTGGAGGAGCGTGACTGGCTACCCGGCAAGACGCTCTTTGAGAACCTGTGGGCCTCGGTCTACAGCAGCCGCAAGACCCTATTTGTGCTGGCCCACACGGACCGGGTCAGCGGCCTCTTGCGTGCCAGCTTCCTGCTGGCCCAGCAGCGCCTGCTGGAGGACCGCAAGGACGTCGTGGTGCTGGTGATCCTGCGCCCCGACGCCTACCGCTCCCGCTACGTGCGGCTGCGCCAGCGCCTGTGCCGCCAGAGCGTCCTCCTCTGGCCCCACCAGCCCAGTGGCCAGGGCAGCTTCTGGGCCCAGCTGGGCACAGCCCTGACCAGGGACAACTGCCATTTCTACAACCGGAACTTCTGCCGGGGCCCCACGACAGCCGAATAGCACAGAGCAACAGCCCAGCATGCCTCATCCCCCCACCTCTACTTGCCCCTCTGCCTGGGATGCCCCAACCTGCCTTGCTCTGCGAGACCACTGCTCTGCCTCCCCCTCCCCCCAGCCCCCTGGCATATAGCAGGCACTTAATAAATGCTACCGGAGGGCCAACCCCTAACCCTGAGCTCACTGGAGGTGTGAGTGGGAGGAAAAGGGGAGAATTCTCCAGGCCTTCCTAAAATGAAGGGGAGCAAGAGGTGATTTGGGGGTAATTGTCATGGAGAAAAAGGGAGGGCCCACGGGGCATGGGTCCGCAGGGGAGGGAAGATGCTAAGGGCAATTGTGTTCACTGGCATCTTTTCAGGGGAGTCTGAGGAAGGTCACCGAGTGCGGCCTTGGTCTTTCCCAGAGAGCAGGCTGGGTCTTCTGCCCCTGTCAACCCCTCCCCAGATGCCCAGGCCTACCGAGCTCAGCATTCCTCTGGAACTGGTCTCAGGATCTGCCTCCCTCACCAGATGGAACTGAAGCTGCCTCGAGGGCAGAGAACCTGCAGTCCCCCTTCATTTCTGACTGGCGCCAGGTTCCTTGGAGGCAGCCGCCCTGGGGAATGTTCATTCCTAAGGAGATAGGGAAGATTTGCGGCAAGTTCAGAGGGGTGATTGCGCCCTCTGGTGGCCATTTCTGTGCTGCACCCAGGAGGCTGGTCCAGGCTGGGGAGAGGAAGGCCTGCGGGTGAATCCTGGCAGCAGCGAGCTGAGAGTCAGGGAAGATTCTAGGGTGAGCTCACAATCCACCCCTTTCTGTTTCCACCTAGAGCACATGCTGAGTCTCTCTGTTCTGACATCAAATGGACACCTAGATGAGCCACCACCTCTCACAGCTGACTGCACTTAGGTGAGAGTTGCAGCCAGGATGGAGTATGTGTGTGTGTTTCTAGTTTTGATACTAGATTTCAGTATAGATTTTGGGATACTGCCAGGAGCCTTGATGCCCACATGCCCAGTGTTTGGAGACAACCTGTTCACGGTCTCCACAAGTGTCTGGGGAGTTGTGGGTTCTGTCAGGCCCAGAGTTCTTGTGGTGCTTTGCCCAGGCCGGCTGCCTCACCATCCCCACAAGTAAATCTGGCCCTTCGAGGAGCAGAGGAGACACTTGCAGCCTCTCAGTCAGAGCTGGGGCCTGGGGCGGTGAGAGAGTGGAACCAGCTGAGCTGGCCCAGGCCAGTTTGGGGCAGCTCAGGGCCTCTGGGCTGGAAGGTTGGAGCTCATGCAGACTTGGCTAATCTTGCAGCCCTGGTGGGGCTGGGAGGCTGCTTTTGCCCTCCCTCCAGGCCACAGCTGGGAGAGAAGTATAGGCTTCCTTCTCCTTTCTGACCTGGGAACAGGGGCGCCTGCACGGGGCTGGCATCCCCTATTATCTGCCTGCCTGAAAGAAAGAGAGAGGAGGATCTCTGACCCACCTATCAGAAGCCCCACAAGGGCCCTGACCCAGTCCGGCTTCTGGAAGGGCAGGCTGAAGTTATAGCGTGGCCCCATGAGCTTCCGTGGCCCGTGCCTGGCGCGAAAAGAAAACAGGAACCATCCTTCCCCCAGGCTGGAGTCTTGGGGGAGGCCCCTGCTGAGTGGCTCTGAGACTGCTCTGGCAACGTCTGGAGCAGGAGGCAGGGCCCTGTCCAGGGCACCACATTTTGCATGTGGGAAGCACGATTTGCCTGTCTCAGACCAGCAGAGTCTACCCTTGGGTAGTTCCCAGCTAGAGCCTCCACATACACGGTCACTCGCCCACGCTCCCAGACCTGGATCTTTCGGGGCTGAGGATTCAGAAGAAGAGGAGATGAAGCATGGGGGCTATGGTAGGAGCACTGTTGGGCTCCGCTTAAATGAGTCTACGGGTCCATGGTGCTTGGTTCAATCTGCAGGGAAAGGCTCTGCTGCTGTCTGTGGCGTTGGGGACAGAGCCACTAACCCAGGCCCCGCAGGGGGCGCTAGGAGCTGGACGGGAGATACGGTGGCGGGGAAGGGTGCTCTCCGGCTGGCTCCCCGCCCTCTTCTCTACACTGCTGGACATCCTCGACACTGCCCACAACGCAGCTCTGCAAGACTGTGGAAGAGATGGGCCTCAGGTCAGATTACCTGGGGCGATCACCAGCTCTGCCATTTGGGTTATCCTGTGCAGGTGACCTCCCTTGCAGAGTCTGTTTGCTCATCTGAAAATGGGGATGGCCAGAGTTACTCCGCAGGCTGTTACAAGGGTTTGTGGTAATGTGTGTAAAGTCTGGGAAACCTAGCGGGTCCTTGGTGGTCATTATTAGGTAAGGGACTTATGCTGAGGACAACTAGCTGATGTGGCTTCGATATTTTCTCTCTCCACCCAGAGATGGATCCTCCTGAATCAGGGCCCCTGCCCAGAGCACTGAACGGGGTTTGGAGGCAAATGTGCTTGAATCAGAGGCTCGTGAAGCTGGGAGGAGGACCGGGGTGCCTGCGGACCCTGGTGTTGCCTCCTTGTGCTTCTTTGTTGTTGGGGAGCAGTGTGTGCTAGACAAGTAGAGGGCATGAGACTTAGGACAACTTGACGGGAAGAAATGTAAATGTAAGGAAATGCTACCTGCTAAGATTCTAAGCTACAGCTCTCCCTTTCCCCTCTAATACATTTTATTTAACACCCTAGTCTTCTAAGTATTCTTGAGAAACTTCCATGACATCATACATTTTCACACTTGGATTCTTATTAGAAGCCAAGCTTCTCCTGTGTAAGCAGTTGATAAATCCATCCACTCCCTCCAGAACATTCCATCATCCTTTGTTCTCATAACCACCAGCAGCAAGGAGAAGTTGAGCTCATGACCTTGTTGACCCAGCTGGCTCTGAGTCTTAATGAGAAGGAAGGTGGGTCTCATTAAGCATTCAGAGAGAAACACGACCCAAGGTAGAGGGGAAACCACACTGGGAGGAAAGGAGGTGGAGGGAGTTCCAGGCCTGGGAACGTGTAGGACAATGGAAAGGCCCTGAAGGCTTTCGTGAGGGAACGGAGCTGGGAGCGCTGAGTGAGGCACGTTTCCTGAGCAGAAAGGAACCGCACGGTTTTTCCAAGGGGACGTGACTTCCATCACGCCCAGCCGTCTGCCCAGGTGTGTGGCTTTATCTGATGGGACCAGGACTCAGCGAGCTCTCTCAGTGCCTGGGCTGATTAGGGGCGTGGGGCCACCCCCAGCCACCCCTGGAGCTGAGAGAGGCCAGCGAGGCCAGGAGGCTCTGTGTCCTCCGGCTGCTTGGTTGATCTCCGGCTCACCTATTCTTTCTGGTAAGGTAGCCTTGGGTGTTCTCACTGGTCCCTATTATGGGCTGAATGTTTGTCCTCCCATGGGTTGAAACAATAACCCCCAGGTGATGGCGTTTGGAGGTGGGGCCTTTGGAAGGTAATTAGATTTAGATTAGGGCAGGAGGTGGGCCCCTTGTGGTGGGGTTAGTGGTCTTGTAAGAAGAGGAAGAGGGAAAGGTCACGTGCATTTATAGTGAGAAAGCAGCTGCTAGCAGGCCAGGGAGAGGGCTGTCACCAGGAACTGAATCTGCTGGCACCTTGACTGCAACTTCCAGTCTCCAGAATGGTGAGAAACAAATGTTTGTTGTTTAAGCCCCGCAGTCTGTGGTGTTTCATTACAGCTGAGACAGTCCCCTTTCGTTCACTCAACACATTTGCTCAATGTCCACTGTGTGTGTCAGGTACAGTGCACAGCATTGGGGAGAGAGAAGCAAGGAGAATGACAGGGAAATGGTCAACAGGGGTGGTGATCAAGGCTTTGAAGGGAAGCCCGGGGGGAAGCCAAGTGATGGTGAGAACACAGGAGGGGCTGCCTTAGTCCGGGAGCTCAGGGAAGGTCTCCTCGCGGACCCTTGTCCTGTGTGAAGAGAGGCATCCACACCACGATCCAGGGAAGAGAAATCCAGGAGAGAAACAATGGCTAACAACACCAAGGTCTGGAAGCTGGTGAGAACGTCCGTGGGTATTTGAGGCCCAGGAGTATGCTTCCACACGTGAGGCAGAGTGAACAGATTGGGGTGGGATGGGAGATGAGGCTGCAGAGCTGGATGGGATCCTGATCCCAGAGAATGTCATCAGTCTGTGTGACAATCTAGAATTTAATGAGTGCAATTCGAGGACCCAGAAAAATTTTCTACAGAGGAGGGACAGGATGTGATATATATGTTTTTAAGGCTGCACTGCATGGGATCCTAGTTCCCCAACCAGGGATCAAACCTCTGTCAGTGTAAGCGCCAAGTCCTAACCACTGGACTGCCACGGAACTCCATTTTTTTTAAAAGCTCTCTCAGGCTGCTGTGTGGGGTAGAGGCTGGGGCGGGTGCCAGGATGATGGTGGCACGAGCAGGATGGTAGCAGTGAGAGGTGACAGGAAGTGGCCTGGCCTGAGGTGTATCTTTGAGGTAAGACGTACACGACTTGCAAACAGTGTCACGTGTGGGCAAGACAGTTGTTTTCCACATGAGAGGCGGGAGTAACTGGGTAGATGTGGGAAGATGAGGAGAAAGGCAGGAAGGGGAGGAGTGGGCAGACCCAGGGCGCCCTCAGGAGCTGCGTGGTTCAGGTGCTTGTTTGCTGGCCCTCAGTGACGTACAGCTGGAACTGGAAACCCAGGGCTGGGGGAGATCCTGTGCAGGGAGGGGAAGGGTTACATGCAGTTAGAGATGAACCCAGGGGGTGCTCAATGTTCAGAGAAGGACCAGTTCAGGAAGGAGGAGGGCAATCAGGAGAGGTCAGTGGCACGGAAGCTTAGAGGAAGCTGTAAAAAGGCCAAGGACAACCACCTCAAACACTACTGGGAGATCCAATGAAAGGAAAACAGGAGGCCACTGGATTTGGCAAGAAGAAGCAAGACATGGCAAGAAAAGAGCGGCCTCCACAAGGAACAGGCTGAAGGACCAAGTGGGGAGGGCTAAACAGAAAAGGGGCAGAACAGAGGCAGCAAGCAGCTAGATGGGGGTCAAGACTGAGGGAGAGCCTGTTTTATTTTTAGGATGGGTGAGAGTCTGCT